CCCGAATCCTCCACCGCCCGTCCGACACCCCAGCTTCCTCCTCGAGCGAGGCCTTCCACATGCGGTGTAAGAGTTCATCGAGGGGTCGCCAAAAAATGCCGCCTGTCCATCCTTTGCCTTGGTCAATATTGGCCAAGCCTTCGCGGTCAGAGAAACGCCTGGCTGCGAGCTACGCTCTCCTAGCCACCATCGCTGGGGACACCTGGCGAAAGTCCCAAACCTCACCCGTGGCCTCACGTAAGGTCCACGGGTCGTCAAAAATGAGCCCAACTCGCACACAAGTGCGGAGAAGGGCTGCAAGTGGCTCTCGCACGCGTGCCCAAGGCCGAGGCAGCAGGAGTATCACCTGGCCACGGTCAAAAAGCGACTGCAGCACCACAGGCGCTGATCCTTGAGAATCTGGCTGTAAGAGCGGAGGGCGTCACCCGTAATGATGACTAACGGATCTCTGGAGGAAGGAGGGGGAAGAGGAGTAGGAGGAGGAGGACGAGGAGGGAGGAGCAGGAGGAGGAGGAGGAGGAAGAGAAGCAGGAGGAGGAGAAAGAGAAGGAGGAGGAGGAGGGGAGGAAAGCGAGGGGGGAGAGGAAGGATGGAGCAGGCAGGGGCAGGAGGGCGAGGCCAGGGGGTAGGAAGTCGGAGGGAAAAGGGGGGAGAAATGGGGGTGAGGCCGGGACTGGCCTTCGGTCGGGCCTGTCCCCCTACAGGGGGATTTTGAGCGAAAAATTAAGAATAGTCCAACAAATATTCCAAAAGATGGTCCTCAGACTATGTTTGTGTATTGTTTGATATTCCTCCTGTAGAGGGAAAGGCCCGACTTGAGACTGGCCTCTCATCCTGAACCGTCCTTTGACGCTCCTGGAGCCAGGCAAGCGCCCCGAGAAGCCGAAGACTGCTAAAAACCTGTCCTCGGACTTCTTGCATAACCAAGGGGTCCGGAACTCATCGTATTATTCGCGATGGCGCCCGTGACCAGCCCCGACCCCCCGCCCCCTGCTCACATCACGATTCGCGCCAGCGCCGTCTGGGAATGAGCCATCTTTGGCATCCTCAGACGGCGCCAGCGCGAATCGTGAGGTGACTGGCGCCCTCCCAGGGTCATACCCGTTATCGCCAGAGAATAAAAAACGGTCTCCTGGGCGAAAAACATATCCGTATCCGCAGACTCGCGTGCCAAGCTCATGGGCCGCGACCCCGCGGATCGCGGAAGCCCGCACCGGAACGTGTCCGTGCGACCGTGCATCCACGGGATCGGGCCCCTAAACCCAGACCGGGGTCCTCCTCCTTCTCCTCCTCCTCCTCCTCCTCCTCCGCCTCCTAATCCTCCACCTCCTTCCCCTCTCCCACTCATGGTGGCGGTGGTCGAAAGCAAGCCCATCACGATCGGGCCCCCAAACGCAGACCTCAAGGGCGCGAATGCGACCCGTCGCCGCTCGTGCGGGACTGCTCGTGTGGGCCACCGTGGGCCCCTCCAGCACCGCCTTTGAACAGGGACCGACCGTCCCGGCATTAAGCCTACCACGAAATGTTCCTAGAACCCAAAAATGTTATACGAACGAAACAATGTTCTTAGACCATAAACCCGATGTGCTGAAACCATACAGTCCCAACCAGAAACGTTCTAAGAACATTCCGCGCAGACCACAAAAGGTTATTCGAACATTCTTTGGTAGGCCAATGGGCGAGCGAGGACGCTTCGCCATTGCTTGACGCCTCGCTGCGCCATTGCTGACGCGTCGCCAATGGGCGAGCTAGGACGCCTCGCTGCGTTTCGCGCTCGGCAGCCCGCGCCCGCGGCAAGGCCGGGCACCCCACAGCCACGGCGTGCGCCGCCACCCGCTGCGGCCTCGGAGCGGACGGTCCGCGCGCCGGCGCTCTCGTCTCCATGCGCGGCGTGCCGCGCCGGCGGCCCGCGCAGGCCCTGCCGGTGCCCGCCGTCCGCCAACGCCCGCGGGGGCCCCGGGCTTTAGGAGGAGGAGGAGGAGGAGGAGGAGGAGGAGGAGGAGGAGGAGGAGGAGGAGGAGGAGGAGGGGGAGGAGAAAAGGAGGAGGAGGCGAGCGAACGAGCGAGCGCGAGCGAGCGAGCAGAAGCCGAGAGGCGGTTGGACGGGCCGCGGGCCGAGGGCCCGCAGATGCCAGCCCCGAGACCCCAGCCTGCTGCAAGCACGGAGCCACCAGGGCCCAGAGCCGCCTTGCAGCCGCTATGGTCGCGGGACCAGCACCAGCAGCACCCACTCGAGGCAAAAGCCCTCGAGGCCCAGTGAACGCACGCGGGACACGTGGTCCAGCACGGTGCTGAACCACACAAGGAGCGGCATCCACAGCAGGAGGCCGATCAGCCAGCCGTTGACAAGGGCGACGGAAAAGCAAAACAAATTCGAGTGCAGGCCGTCCAAGTCCAGGGTCAAACGCCACAGAAGACCAAGCACCGCACCCGTAGATAATGAAAGAACGTCAGACTGGCCCACCAACCACCCACCAACGCGCATCTGCCAAATGCGCATGGGCTGGCAGGACGGCTTGCCTGCTAAAGGCACACAGGCTGGCAGGAATCTGGCGGGGGCCAGCAGACTATACCATATCTGGGTCCACATCGCCATCGCTATCAGATTCACGCGGGGCTCCCAACTCCAAAGCTTCAGGGTATAATAGACCGTGGTCCTTGAGAGTAGCAGTCGTGTCAAAATAACGCTGGGGCTCAGCGCGCGCATTGCCTTGCGGTCTGCAGTCGACCTCAGGCGCATCGCTGAGCGGGCCCCTTCCAACCTTTTGACATGCACAACACGGCTCGGACTTTGGCAGAAGGCCGCCGAGCATACAAAAAGGGCATATCTTTGCGCAGCGACTGAGGGTGCCGAAGAGCGTCAAAGTGCCGAGTATTTCGGACGATCCTGCTACTGCCTCCTTCTCCGCCACAACAGACCTTATCCAGCCCTCGGCGGTTGAGACTTCCAGCGTCAGAACATGTGCCACAATTTGCGCAGAATACCAACGAGCGGTCGTGACCGATAGCAGGGCACTCCATGAGAGCATGCTTCTGGACCAACCAAGGCCATGGCAAGAGAGGCTCTCTCGCCGCCGCCTCCTGCTGAGGCGTGGCCAGGCTGTCCCCCTCAGGCTCGGGAAAAGCATAGTCTCGAAACTCCTCGGCCTGCTCGTGGAACCACACCTCGAACTTGGCGGTGTAACACAGCAGCACCTTGCGAAGGCGCATGGCGCCACGAACGATCATTTCCTGCACGTCCGAGGCCGCGTGAAAAGAAACTCCAGCTTCGGCCAACTCTTCGGTCTCAGCATTGCAGGCTCGATCGAACTGGCTGGCCCCGCCTTCCCTGGCGTCCGCCATGCTGGCGCGCGCCTCGACATGAGACACAACCGCCCTGCAGAAGTCATCATTATGAGTCGTCCGTTTCCACGAGTGCGCTCTCAAATTGCCTGGGCCGCAAGCCACCGCCAAGCGGTGACAACAGCCAACTGAGCCCGTGCAGCCAGACTTGACCGAGTCAGATCCCATGACGAACTCGCTTGTTTTCAAGAGCGCGTAGCCGTCACCGTCGCGAGCCACTTGCCTTGGCCCTTCACGGCGCGGCACCGCGCCGCGGTACCTGGCCACTCGCCGCCTGTCGGAGCCGCAGGCCGCGACTGCCCACGCTGCTGAACGTAATTCAGGCGCGCGGACCGAGAAAGCACAGCCGTCCACGAATACGTAGCCTCCATTCACAGACGTCACACCCCTGCGATCAACATCAATCAGATCATGATGGCTAGAACGGCCAAAGCCGCGCAACGTTTGGCCTGGGTGAGGGGGCAGACCACGAGCAAAACGATCCTGCCAGTCCTCCGGCTCGCTCCGCATCCTCTGCGCTGCCCTTTGGACTTCAGAAGGGCTAAGCCACTGGCGCTGAGCAGCGAAGGCGACGCGCACGAAGAAACGACGAAACAGCGTGCCAGGCGCCGCCTGGCATCTTGCGCAGAGCGAGCCAGCGACGAAGGCTCGAGCAATCCGAACCTGCGCCCAGTGACCTCCCGTGATCACACCTCTGAGCGAACGGCGCCCGTGAGGTGCAAACCGCATCCCGCGCAGCGACTCGGAAATCGGTTGCCAGGCAATCGGCCCCGCCCTCGCGGCGCCTGCCCCCTGCAGGGCAGCGAGAGCATGACGATCGATCTGGCGCCGAACACCAAGCTTGACAGCATGGGGAATCCAACTAGCAGAGTGGAGCTCGAGGTCCCAAGAGATACCTTCATCGTCTAAAAGAGTGAACGGGCCCAGCAAATTCATTCATATCCTGTGCAAGCTGATCACCAACGCTGCAATGGGGCTCCTGCGCGTCAGCCATGCTTGGGGGTCGCCCAACAGAGGAAGCGCCGAGGCCACGAGTGCAGATACCACCGATGTGGTAATCGCCTCTGTGGACATGATCACAGGGTACGTGCGAATGGCATCGGAAGTTGCGATAACCAAAGGATCGCTGCGCCAACCATTCTCCGCATGCATCGGAGAAGAGGCCCGCTGAGGCACCAGGCTTGAACCAAGCACCCGCGTGAAGGAGTGACATCCTGAGCTGCTGGACCCTGCTATTGGGCCCCCCCGCGATAGAGCATCCCCATAGAGCCTTAGAGAGGACCCCAGAACCGTGCACTGCTGAGCGCTGCCTTCCAATGCCTTTAGGAGCCGCCAGCCTATCCCCTTTAGCCATCGCATCTCGCACACGCGCGAGCTGAGTGCCTATTCGCTTATAACGCCCATCAGCAGCGTCACCCCCGAGATCTCGATGATACTTACCCCGGCCTGGGGATGGCTCCAGCAGGCCAAAAAATCGGCAACCTCATCCTCGAACTGGCTGAACGTCACAGCGTCGCCACATAGAAAGCCATCTGATCCCAAAACAACGGCACCCCTCGAACCTGAAGCAGGCCCACCGATTCCTTGACATCGAAACTGAGCTCCCGAGCAACCGCCTGTGGCCCCCGAACTGAGTGTAAACTGATGTGGTCGATCAAATTTTTTAATTCTGAGGAAGCTGCACCTAGCCCCAACATGTCGAAGCACAGTCACCGCCACGAGCTCGGCTAGTCCTGCGGCGCACGAACAGCCCGCGACAATTGTCCCGTTGGCGAAGATCTCGTGCGAGGTGGAATTCTGGTCGGAGCCCCTTCTGGACCCTCTGTGCAAAGCGCACAGCGGCCTCAGAAGATTTCCCGGAAAAGCAATGTCCCGAGCCGCACATAGCAGCTCTGAATGCGACACTAGTTCGTGGAACTTCCTGAAGTCTACGAAAGCACAAACAATGAAGTTAAATCCTGGGGCTGCGCTGGCTAGAACATTGCGAATCCAAGCCGACTTGTCACGCGAGGTCTCGGAGCCCCCAAGAAAGAAGCTGGCAGGGTGGACTCCCATTTGGCTACAGCGCGGCGCCTGTGCCGAGACCAGTAACGGGCGAAGAATGGGAGCAGGCCTACAGGCCGCGCCCCCCCCCGTGACCTCAGGCAGAAAAACTAGAAGGGTCAGCCGAACGTATGAGCTCTGGATTCTTTTCCCAGGAAAGGAGGCGGAGGGTGAGGGTCGAAACGACGACCGGCGGAAGTCTGGCTCTTAAATGCACTGAACACCGCCATCACATTGTCGTCCGTGAACTGAGGATGCGGCTCGGCTTGAGACACATCCCAAACCAAGGGGCGGGGCTCATCACACCTGGCTGGAACGACCCAAAGACTAGACCGCTCTTTCAGAATTTCCTGCTGAGCTTCGTGACCAAACGCGGGCAGCCCCTGGGCAAGGTCCGCGGCAGTGCCCCCTTTAGGGCCTTTCGAAAAAACGATGGGCCAGGCTGGCCCCGTTGGCAAACGCCAACTCCGAATATTATGTCCAGCTCTGCTTGGCGGCGGCTGCACCAGCTGCAGCGCGCGAAAGCATCTGGCCCTGGAGACATTTGCAGACCTGGGCCCTCGTGTCGGGACCCTTCAAACCTGCCAAAAAGTCACCGAGCGAATTAACCGAGACGCCAGCCCCCCCCCACCCACCCACCCACTCCGAACCATCCCTAAACCCCGAATATTCAAACAACATTCGCAAGCAATGCACTGGCCTGCTGAGCTGCCTGGGGCTCGGAATCCTTGCCCTCCGCTCTCAGCCATTGCATGGTGAGACGCCTGACGGAGAGCCAGCGCTGGGTGGTGGGGCTCGCTTTCCTACGGAGGCCCTTGCCACATTCGCACTTTATCGGAACTTCTTCGAGCTTGCATCCAGCAGAGCGACCGCAAAACCTCGGTCTCTCGGCGAATGGCATAGCCAAGAAGAGGCCCAAGCACAGCTCGGCCGAAGAGAACCACCAACGAGCGAGGCCGTCGAGAGATTCAGTTCCCTCCAACTCAAAGCCTGGCCAGGACGGACCACCACCAGGCACAAAAGGTTGCCCTGGGGAGGGCGTCGAATTATCCCAGTGCGACCCCGCCTAGGAGTTGGGGCATCTAGGGAAGCAACCTATACATCTACATCTACACCGGCAGCTACATGAACATCTACACCTGCTAAGCTAAGCGATGCTATGCTGAGCTAAGCTAAGATAGGCTACGCTATGCTATGCTGCGCCGTGCGATGCTAAACTATGATATGCTATGCTATGCTGCGCGTTGCTTTGTCTTGCTTTGCTGTGCACCCAGCGACACCAGGCTGTTCAGCACTGCTCGCGGCTCCTGAAAGTGCTGCAGACTGTTCAGCACTGCTGCTTTGCTGCTATGGTATGCTATGCTATGCTATGCTGCGCGATTCTATGCTGTGCTATGCGATGCGTTGATCTGCTGCGCTATGCTGCGCTATGATGTGCTATGCAATGCGAGGGTACGCGCGACTGCGCTGTATTATGCTATGATATGCGATGCTATGATATGCTGCGCTATGCTATGCTCTGAGTTGCTGCGCTATGCTATGACATGGTATGAGATTCTGTGCTATGATATGGTATGATAGGCTATGGTACGATATAATATGCTGCGCTATGCTAGGATATGATATGATATGCTGCGCTCGGCTGTGCTGTGCTATGCTATGATATGCTGCGCTATGCGATGCGATGCTATGATATGATATATTATGTTGCGCTGAGCTATGATAAGATATGCTATGACATGCTATGGCATGCTATGATGCGCCACGCTATGTTATGTCATGATATGCTATGTTATGATATGATGCGTTATTCTATGCTGCGCTATGCTATGCTATGCTATGATATGTTATGATATACGATGCGATGCTAGGCTGTGCTGATGCTGCGCTGCGCTGAGCTAAGCTGAGCTAAGCTAAGCCAAGCCAAGCCAAGCTAAGCTGAGCTAGGCCCTGCTAAGCTAAGCTACGTTAAGCTAGGCTAAGCTAAGACGAAATAAACAACGCTGAGCTGAGGGGACGTACCTGGGGGAACCGCGGGGCGGATGCCGGGGGAACCGCCCGGGACGGGTAGCACTGCCTGGCCCATTTAAGCTCTAAAGTAAGAGCCCTTCTAGG